TAATTCAATTTTGCCTCTTCTCCAGATGTCACTTTCCATCTGTGCGCCTGGAAACGCGATGCGCCTTTTCCCTCTCATCCCGGACACCTCACATTCTGATGTCTGACCCCTGAGCGCCACTAAACTTCAGAGTTTGCAGATTCAGACTCTGAAAGTGCAGAATCCTTAATAAAGGACAAAAAAACACCGTGAATAATGTGATAAGAGGCAGAAAACCGCGTTTGAAATCATCGTTTTTGCTCTTTTTTTAGCGCTGCTTTCTGTCTTTCTGCCTCCCATCAAATTGAGACATCAGATTAAATCGTCACGGGAGCATCGCTGAAATGATTGTTTTTTTATTTATTATTATTATTATCTGCCTCGGAGCCCCTTCCCCGCAACACACGACCTTATTAATAACCTCTGATGAGCCTGGCGTTTCCTCGGGCGAAAGAGGAGTGAGACGTCGTAGGTGAAACGTGACAGCGGGGCCCTCCCATCTCTCTCCCTCTCTTTATCCTCCTCTGTTTCTTTGCCTTTTCGGGGGAGTGGATCCATCTAATCCATCCGGAGACAATGGCATTTTGTTCCTCTTTTTGTCCCTCCTGTCGACCCGCATTCCTTTATCGCTGAGCAACGACAGAGCCACTAAATGGAGAGGAGTTCCTCCCATATCCCGCCTATTGTCTGGCACTTGCCAGGGGAACTTAGGGTCTTGCACACATCGCATTTTCGTGATTTATTTAAGTGAAGGTGTATAGTTGAAGCCTTTTATATCCGTGCGTAATGAGGAATTAACCACCGCTTTACTGGGATCAAATGGCCATTATGCTACTGTAAATCATCACAGGTGCCTCAACAGCATCCGACAAAACATCTGGATCCAACCTGTCCGCACGTTTCTGCGTCTGGACAGAGATTTAAACCACAAAAAAACAGCCAAAAAATGCAGATTTCCGTTTTTTCCCTGCGTAAAAAATTCTCGCATAAAAGACAAAACAGTCTCGTCTCGCCCGAAACAGCTGAAAGAATTAAAAGATGTTCAAACTATAAAAGAGGGGGCGTTTCAATAGCTGGTGGACTATGGCTGCGGGACTATAGAGCAGAAGAATAAAGAGCGGCCTCAGTGAAAGAAACCGATGGCTAAAAGCTATAATTGTATTTGCCTCGGCGAAATATCAGAAAAGACTTCTCGTTCCTTTGAGCGTTATTAGATTAATTCCCAAAGATGGTTTCTTTTCTCGCTGCCAGACGCGTGGAGGGAGGACGGTGAACCATTTGGCTCTTTGGTTTCAATAATCAAATTAACCATTTGGTACAACTTTCGGGTCTCAGCTCGTGTGTGGAGAGAGAAAATAAAAAAAAAAGAAAACATTTACATAATGGGGAGCGGGTTGTGTCAGGAAAGAATTAAGGTTTTTCTGGTCTCATTGATCTCCGGGAAGACAATGTCCACACGAAAGAAAAGGGAGAAACACACTGCAACACGTCAGCGATTGTTGAGTAAAAATAATTGATGGCAAAGCCAAGCAAGTCTACTATTTTTTAACATGGGAGCTGCCGTATGGACAAAAAAACGGTTTTTATCGAGAGGTTTCAGGCCATTTTGAAGAGTAAAATCTTTTTATTTAATTTGATTATTATAGAGCAAATATATAAATCCATATGGGAATATTTAAGATTGATAATTCTTGTTAATTCGATGACAAAATGTCATTTGGACGCAGAACGTTTGGATTATTTATTTTTATTAGTACAAGAAGATCCATTTTACATGGAAATCCGTGAGATGTTCCCAAAAAAAATCCTGTTAAAGTGAAATATGTCCCGGACAGTTTGGGAAGAAAAGGTGAGTCCACATAACCCTGTGTGGGATTATTAAAACTAAATCATTCCCTGTCCATTACTTCCCTGTTTTAGTGAACTGTCCATCACAGAAACACAAACACAAAATCAACCTCAACACATTTTAATTCCTGTTATTGTTATTCCTGATAATCTGTAAGAAAAAGAAAGAAAGAAAAACACCCGCAGCTTCGACAGAGGACTTGAACTCTGTCTGATTGTGGGGGGGGGG